CAAGTAAAAGTTGTCTCGCAGATCTTGCGGAAGGTAACTTCTATTTAGTTCCTTAAGATACTTAATGCCGTGTCTTTGTGCTTGTCTGAATCAGTGAAGCTTTTTTTTTTAATGTCGCACATAGACAATTTATTTGAAGTGACCAGTGGAAGTTGCAGGCAAAAAGTTTGAATGTTTTTTTGCCAGTTCTCGATACTTCTCAAGCAGATAATACTTATGAAGGTGCTACGGTCATCGAACCTATTCGTGGCTTTTACAATGAGCCGATTGCTACTTTGGATTTTGCTTCTTTGTATCCATCAATCATGATTGCACATAACTTGTGTTATACGACGCTCATAACCGCTCCCAGCAATAAGTAAAGAGAGGAAATTATATTGTTAGATTACGTGTGTATTGTTATTGAAGAAACTTTTTAGGCTCAAAAATGAGGATTTTATTATTTCACCAACAAATAACCGGTTTGTTAAACCTCATATTCGCCACGGTATACTGCCACAGATTTTGGAAGATTTACTGGCCGCCCGTAAGAAAGCCAAAGCTGACCTTAAAAACGCAACGGATCCATTTCGGTAGCTTGTCCGTCTCTATTTAAAGTTACTGTGTCAATATCGACAAGAATTTATCTACTTTTTTTTATTAACGAGAATCTGCTTTAGTTGTAGCTGTGATGCTTTATTTTACAAATATGCCATACAGCAGAATTTTTTTAGGAAGATGGTCTTGAATGGTCGTCAGCTTGCGTTAAAGATTTCGGCAAATTCAGTTTATGGATTCACTGGTGCAACAGTAGGAAAATTGCCTTGTTTGGAAATATCGCAGTCAGTTACAGCTTTTGGCAGGATGATGATTGACCTTACCAAAACGACTGTTGAAAAAGATTATAAGACTGGGGCAGTAGATGGCAAGTGTCCTGCCGATGCTCAAGTATGTTCACTTTGCTTTGAACATCTAATACTAGTTCATCAGACTTTCTTGATCTGCGTGTATCTGATCAGTAACTATGTTTTCCAGTGACATCATATTAGTTGATTTTTTTTTCTGATATAATGTTTCAATTTATTGCTTCAGGTTAATAGCTTAATATTAAAGTCTCTAATTGTGAACGCGGAAAATGTTTGCTTGTTAATGTTGAGGGGACCTTTTAACCGTAGGCTTTAAGGTCGTTTATGGCGACACTGATTCTGTCATGGTTCGTTTTGGAGTGAAGGATGTGAAAAGTGCAATGGACTTGGGGTTGCATGCTGCGGTTGAAGTTAGCAAATGTTTTAAGCCACCGATCAAGCTGGAGTTTGAAAAGGTTGCGTTTCGTCTTGACTTCAATGTGCCGCGTTGAGCATGATAGTGCTTCAGATTTAGAGGTGTATTTTAATATTTCAGTCATCACGTAGCCAGGATATTCTGCTTTTCATATTAGATATGAATTTGTATTTTTTTAGGTTTATTTTCCTTTTCTTCTAATAAACAAAAAGCGTTATGCGGGCCTTTTTTTCACTAAGCCAGATAAACATGACAAGATGGATTGTAAGGGCTTGGAAACAGTACGACGTGATAACTGCCCTCTGGTCTCAAATGTTCTAAGTAACTGTCTTGAAAAACTTTTGTTGAATCGCGATGCTGCTCTTGCGCTACAGTACGCAAAAAAAGTTGGTCGTTTGCTCGTTTTTCTAATAAGATTTTTTGTCGTGTTTGTATACAAAACAGTATTCTTGCTTCATTATCTTTCTAATTTAGAAGCTTGTACCTGCTCTTCTTTTGTAAATTTTTAGGTTATATCAGATTTGTTGTGCAATAGGATTGACATATCGGAATTGATAATTACTAAAGAATTAACTCGTTCCAGCGAGGTTTGTAGAGTCATTTACGTTTTTATAATTGAAATTCGGAAGTTTTAGTTGTAACGTAAAGTGCTTTGAATCATGCCAAAATTTTTAGGCTTATGCGGCGAAACAAGCTCATGTGATCCTTGCGGAGCGAATGCGAGAACGCGACCCTGGATCAGCACCACGATTGGGTGATCGTGTTCCGTATGTCATTGTAGCACGAGGACAAAAGGTCAGTTTTATTGGTTGGAGATTACATTTAGCATAGTAATACGTCTACTCCTTTGTTATCTTTTTAATTTAGAGAGCTCCTGTTATCTTGGTTTTCAGGTTCCTGCTTACGAGAAAGCGGAAGATCCTTTATATGTTCTGCAGAATAATATTCCTATCGATACCGCATACTATTTGGAAAATCAGTTGGCAAAACCCCTGTCTCGTATATTTGAACCAATTATTGGAGATAAGGCTGAACAGATTCTGATAAGTTCGCAGATTTATTTGATTCTTTTGCATACTCTGTTATTTTAACACGAAAAATTTTTTATTTTTCTTGTTGTTTTAAAGCATAATTGTTGTATGAGAAAATTTAATTTTTTAATTTACAGGCGGAGAGCACACCTTGGTTAGGACTTCTGTTCATGCTAAAAATTCTGCTTTGTCACAGTTTTTCCAAAAAACTGAAAGGTGCCTTGTCTGCAAAAGCAACTTGCCGAAAAACGTGAAGGATCCTACGTGTGCGCACTGTAAACCTGATGAGGGCAAAGCATTTATTAAACAGGTCTTTGAATATAATTTTAAAGTAATTTCTCTTTGATGCATTCGGTGCCTGATTGTGCAGCAATTTGGGATCTTTAAGATGGCTCTGCTAAATTTGACCGAAAACCAGTTTGGCCGTTTGTGGACTGAATGTCAAAACTGTGCCGGTACTATGAATTGTGAGGTGCTATGTACATCGTAAGTCTGTTTGTAATTTAGATATTTTGTAAAAGGAGCGCTGTTTTTTTATTGCGTATAATAGCTCCTTTGGAAAGAGTTAGGGTAGAAAATCAAGATATTTTTTGTAAACATTGAAATTCTTTTTTCCCCAAAGCCGAATTTGATGTTTCCTTTTGAGGGTTAGTGGATTTTTAAATTTTTTGAATTTGCGCTTAGATTTATATTCAGAATTTTATGAAATGCAGTCACAAGAGGAAAAGAATTTGTTTTTATCAACTTAGTAGTTCGTAATAACGAAGTTTGCTACTTACATAAGAGAGCAGTATAAAATTGCTGTAAGGAGGGGGCGCATTAATTGAAAAACGAGAGTATGGTTTAGAAGCACAGGTTGTAAGAACTCACAATGATATTCAACAGGAACAGCAGTCAGGGTACTTGAGAAAGATACAGAAGTTTTAGTGATTGTATAAATAAGACTCTGACTGGAGTAAAAGCTGATTTTTAACTTAGCGGCCACTTGTAGTAATATCTTATTGGTAGATGCAGATAGTTTAACAAATAACATCTAAAATCTAGACGAGACTGTCCAATATTCTACATGCGGGAGAAAGTTCGTTATGAACTGGAGGAGCAGATGAAGTCAGTACGCAGATTTTATAAAACTACATGGTGACGAGATAATCTACAGCTCTTTCAACATTTTTCTTCAAATCTTTTTTTGCTTTTGGTACAAATCCAGTAGATGAGTTTCGAGAAGTTGGTGAATAAGGCGCTTTGCGTTTTAATGTCAAATTGCTTCGGCAATCTACCTATGCCCGACGGGTAATTAATTTTTAAAGCTGGCTCATGTGTTCTTATTATTTTTACATATTTAAGACTGAAATAAAGAATTGTTACTATTGTGAGCTCTTTGTCTTTTAGTTCATTTCTAAGTGAGTATGTTTTCGAGCATCTAGATTGTAATCACAGTCGTTAATGCTTTCTCATTTGTATTTGCTGTTTTATACTTAATGCAATTGTTCCTTACTGTTTATCACATGACTTACATAAACATTGGTTGCACTTTCAAGGCTTTTGAACTCAGTATAATTTTTTGAAATGAAAAAGTTAAGTGTTACATTTTAACAAATTATTATCTGTCAAGAAAACATGTAATCTAATTTATTTTTGTGATTTACAGTCAGTTCTACAACACTGCAACTAGACGCAGTCCAGCTTCACATGTTTTAAATTTGCTATTTTATGGAGCAGTCGTAATTCTTGTGCACTTTTCCGGAATGTTAATTATAGTGTCTCCAATTTCAGTAGTAAGCATACTTGTATTTTCAGAAAACCCCGTAACTTTTATAATTTCTCCTTTGGACACGCATATTCCTGTTGTCGCATCTGAAAGGCTTTTTTGAGAGGCAAGGTTGGGTTTAATAATTATGCGGATGAACGTAATAATGATAGGAGTCAAACCTAAAAAATTTTCGATGAGCATTCGACGTTGTGGGAGCCGTTGTTTGAGAAATCCACGCACGTGGTAGTTGCGATCTGAAGGGATCTGTGGAATTTCTTCCTTTGTTTGCGCTACGTTTGCCCCGGAAAGTGCAGTTTTACTGTAAATAATTCGTTGGAGGGGAGTGGCATATTTGAATTTTGTTTGGAAAGTGCATAGATTCGTCTGGTGGAGTTCTTTAAAACATGATGCTTTAATCTGACCATGTACTCGAGCCGTACTGTCGGCGTAAAATCTCAAGTTGTCGGTGTCCTTGAAAGGAGACGTAAACTGCGTCATTGGTCAGGTTCCAGAGTGTTACTTCTTTGTTCAATTCGTTGTCGCTGCACTTCAAGAAACACTTGAGTATTTCCTAAAATTGGAGTTTTAAAAAAGTTCAGGAAAGGTGGTGTATTCCATTTAGTAGAAATTTTTTGATGAATTAGTGGGCAAGGTGTATTTGTTTTATTGCTGTCATCACAGAACGATGTGGAGTAGAGGTTGCTTTAATCGGATGTAGTTTTGGTAGTGTTATAGTTCATTTTTTTGTGTCTCATTATTACAAGAGGACTGCAGGTTGCCCAGTGAATTGTTTTTCGAGCCAAACAACCGTTATTATTGGGAGTAGTCCACCGGTTGTCTGACCTTGAATTACACGATTTCCGTGAAGGAAGCTATATTTGTTCATAAACTCGGGATGTGTATACCGATACGGGAATCCTATAATAAAAGAAATTTTGTTGAGTTGCGCAGTTAACATTTCTAGCTATTTGATCGAGTCGTTGTATTCGATATTGAGATCTTTGCGATTAAATTGCCAAGGAGTCACTGAGTTAATTACCGTATTGCAAAAAGTTGACGACCAAGTACAAATCGGAAACTTTAAACTGCTCTTGAAGAAAAAATTTGTCGGTTTTGGCATATTCCATCGTTACATTCGGCTAAAAAACCGGATGCATCAATTCTTTTCTTCTAGCATTTCTTAAAATGGTTTCTGAGTAAACTTTTGATACAGCACGGATTTGTTGTACCGCAAGGAGTACTTCTTAGTCTACCACCGTCAGATTGAGAGGGCGTAACAACAGAGGGATGAACTGTTTGGAATATAGATCTTTGAATTCTTGACTTTTTTTCGCATTAATGGAAGGGAACCTTACCTTGAAGCAGTGGATAAAAAAGCAGTTTCCGTCCCCAGCTTCTTTGAGCATCTTATCCATCTCGATAACCAAATTGTTGCACAAGGTTCTTTTCCTAAAATTGTGGATTAGGCACATTAGGCATAACTTTTATGTCTGAAAGTAAGGTGTGTTTGCGATTTTGTTTAACTTTTCACCATTTTTTATACCGACAGATGTATGGCAGCTTAGGACGTTAGGGTTATAGAGTAAAAGAATGTTTAGTTTTTTTACCCCTGAGAATGCCAAAACAATTCTCTTCCAGTAATCTGGCTATCAACTCGGTTTACTTCATTTTCATTGTTGTCACTTCGTTCCGTTATTTTAAAATCTGTTTGGTTGTGGGACAAAGGTCTAATAATGAAGTAAATCTTGTGTCTTGCTAGAGAAAGTTTTAAGCTATATGTCATCTTTGTCTGCAAAGTTTGAAATCTGAATTCTCACAAATATTGCTGTAAAACAAAGGATTATTTTAGATTTTGTCAGTGAAGTAATGTAAATTAAATGATGAAAGCAATCAGGGATAGTTTTTTATGCAAGAAGGCGGAACATACAGTAAATTTTGATGCATATTTTTTTTCACAAGCCACTGTCCTCTACTTTACGTACTGAACAATCATATTATCTTTCTGGCAGGCGAAGTTGTAGTTTTTTAAGGTTTTGTAAGTGGGACTTGTTGCAATTGTATGAGAAATAGACACAAATTCAAGCTGTTTAAGATTTTTGAGTTCTTAAATTGGTAGTAAAATAAAGACATTTTGCTACTTTTATCGGCTATGGGTTTTAAAAGTGAACAGTGCTTGCATGTTAGAATTATTGTTAGCTTCTGCTTTCTAAAACATTCTAGAATGTTGGACAAGCTAGCCTTTTCAGAATACCTTATCATCTGTACTCCAGCAAATCCTATTTTCCTTATGAATCTTTACAATTATTGGAAGAAGAGGAAGGAGACGGAAGTCATTCTTTAGCACATACAGAATGGCTGAAAAAGTCTCATGCGGTGATTGTGTGGGATTTTCTGCAGTCTAATCAAATGAGTACAAGCGGAATTTTCGCACTATACTTTAAAACAGTTAATTGTTTGAATTTTTCAAAAGCAGAAGGATTTGTGTTGTAAAATTGCGTGGAACTTACTCAATTTCGACATTTCTGTTTGGCTGCTCTGCAGATTTGTTGTCATATGTTATGTACTCGTATGCCATATGTCTTTCCAATTCTGTTCTGCTGTTAAATAAGTGTGATGCAAAAGGAAAAGAGCAATTTTGAGGGGAAAATAATTCAACCTGCAACACGCGTTTTGAAGTTCTGCAAATTTGTGAACGAACTAATTGGAAGTAAAACGGACTTGACAAAGAAATTCGCAGTTTATTCTGATTTCAAACATAATATTTACGTTATCAAGATGAATTAGTGAATAAAGCATATAAAATTTTCCACAAATTTTTCAGTTTCACGTGGTTCTGTAACCAATTACCTACCATGCCATCTGGCAGTTTATTCCGATTTCGAGTTATGAACTTCTTACAGCAATAGGCTACTGGTCGCGTGTCACCAAAATGCCGAACGATTAGATTTTCACCGTTAATTGAAACTCTTCTGGAATATTATAATTTATTTTATGAGTTAAGAAACGCTTGGTTGAAAAGTATTGTTAGCGGTTCAAAAATATGGTCCTATACTTGGTTTCTAATAAACTTGTCATTTTGAAAAAACGAATTTAGTCGTTGGCAAAAGTAGTGTCAAATTTGCCTCCATTTACACCGATTGTTCTCCACGAGTACTTTTAAGACACAATTTTGGAAAAAACATGGCAAAAAACTATTTCTGATCAACATTTTTTAGACATCGTATGTTTTTTTGTACATACCTCATTTTTGCTGCATTTGCACTAACAGACTTCAAAAAATTTTCTTCCAATCCGCCTCGTTTAGCGCATTCAGCATCTAGTAAATAAAGCACTCCATAATCCTGAAATAGATTGGAATTAATGTTTTTTAATTTCTATTGTGTTTCAAAGCCCATAAGTTTTTGCTCATGAGCTGTTCTGCTTGAAGACGGAATCTTACGAAAGTAGACGATGAAAAGCTTACTGCCGCGAGGAAATCATTTAAGGTTCTATTGATTTCAAAGTTTTCTTCTGCAGTTAGAGCATCTGGTGCTAAGTGTGCAATGATTTTTTCCTGGAAATGATCTATAAAAGGATTTTATAAAACATCAAGTTTCGTAATTGCTCGAATCATTAAAATTGCTAAGGATAACTGATATGCAGCATAGGTAACATGCAGAGTACCTTGTACAATGATCGCCACTTCTCTGCCGCTATATTGACGCAAAATGCATCAAAATCATCAGCGTTGTTCTTGAAACTAACTGTATCGTATAGGGTTATACGGGATAAGAATGACTTGTGTGAAACACTAATACCTAGAAAGCAAAAGTTTTTTTAATGAATTCAGTGGCTGTTGAAGTGCGGGTTTGCGGCTTATAATTCGAAAACTTGGTAAAGGGTGCGATTCTGACACGTAAACAAGGCTCGAATTACTGAAGTGGGTACATTTTCAAGTTAATGGCAATTTTTTTCTCTAACAGTTGTGGGGTAGAGCAGAAATGGTAACAGAGAATGGTAGCAGGAGCGGGAAGGAGCGCAAGGTTACGGTGTGGTGACTCCTCAACTTATTCTTAATATTGAACGGTCTAATCATTCAGGTCTATTTTTTACCAATCAATTACAGAAAATGATTTTTGCTTTGTAATTGCTATACTTTCAAAGGCATTTCCTATCAAGAGGTTGTGGAAAATTAACAATTACTGTTTTATGACATGATTTCCTTCTGATTTAGAGTTCAGCTGCAAAAATGTGCTACAGTAATAGCTTTCGTCCCCTTTGCTTTCTTCTTGTTGAAGCCATAAAAGAACAATTTACAGAATTATAAAGCAGATCGAAGATGATTCAGGAGTTTTGAAGGCGCAATTTGCTGAACAATTTAATGCTTAACCGGAGTCGTTTCTGACTGAATCACTGTCTGATGAAGTAGCAAAAGTTGGAGATTGTAGTACCGCATTAATTCGTCGTACAATGGATATCAGACACTGCGATATCAAGTTTTGAACCAGTAAATCTCTATCCAGCGAGGCCTGAAACGCCAAAATCATTCAAAAAGCAACAGTTGAGGTTACAGAAGACTCTCACAAGGGGGAAACAAAGTAAAAAAGATTCTAACTGTAAATGTGCTGCAGGTCACCTCCAGTGTACCAAATTTATTCTTGATTGCTCTTCGGGTAAACATTTTGTATAAAGATAAAGATGATATACCAAGCAGAATTGCGGCGTTTTCCAAATCTGTAACAACAAGAAGTTTTGAAGGTGCAATCTTTTCCGCTTTATCGAATGTGATGCAAGATAGTTGTTGAAAGTGCCAAAATCTTCTTCTACTTGAGCTTGTAGCTTTGAAAAAATACAGACTTACTGGTGTAATGCATAGCATCATCTTACCAGAATGCTTCAGAATGTCAATTTGGCCTTCAACATTCAGGAAATGAACTTTAGTAAGGAGGAAGCTTGCTGCAATAACTCTCATCACATCTTCAAAGGCAATATCTAAGACTTTAAGAGCCTTACGAATCGGGTTCAGTTGTTTTTGGTCGCTATTTCCAGATTTTTTGAGGCTTTCGAAAGCAGCCAGAAAGTATTTCTCTGTAATAAAACATTCCAGTGAGGATTTTGAGAACGGTTTTTCTTGTTCATATTAGTGAATGCTACGCATATTTATCAGCATTTATAAAGAAACAAAGCATCTGTTTATAGTTTACGTTTAAAATGAATTATTATTGAACGTCTGTTTAATCCTAAAGTTCGTTCTGCAAACCTTTTTCAACTTTACGCATCCCTTCTATAAAATGATCCAAGAGGTACGGGAACGAGTTTAAATTTGGTAACAGTGACTTTAAATGATTAACAACAATTCGATCCAAACTTCCTCGAATGATATAAAATTCGTAGGAAACAGACTAAAAGAATCAAATTGAGGATTTTTAGCAACTATGTCAATGTCCCTAAATTTTTGATGTTTTGGACAGAGAAGAAACGTTTATAAACAAATAAGATTTTGCTGAATCAAACGTTTGTTCGTTGATGTTTGAAAAATTACTTGCTTGATGAATTACTACTAAGACCAGTTTCCCTGCATTTATGATTTTAAGTTATAAGTTACCATGGAAGTTCGATTAACATCATCCAGCAACGAACCGCTGGTGATGGTTTGTAGAATAGTTAGTGCAGCATTTAAAGCTGCACGTAATGGACTGCCATAGACTGTTGTTCGCTCGCATAAACGTTTTGCTAATCGTTCGGTTATATAAGTTTTTCCAGAACCACAATCGCCCCTATTAAAATATTATCAATAAAAAAAAAAAAAACGTGGTAGTTATGAAAATTTTTAAGCTTTTTAAAATTGATGGTACATTGTTGTTGTAAAAATCTGTGTATTATTGATGTCAAAAGGTTTCAACCGCTTTTGATGGCTAAAAAATCTGTTTGGAATCAATTTTAGGTGCAACTTCTAAAGGAATATTTTATTTTACAACAATATATTCGCCAACTTGGTGTAAACGTCAGTAAATTGTTGTAAATATTGGTAACATCTTACATCGTAATAATATTAGCGTTACCAGTTTCCATAGCCTGGTCTAATATTTTAGTCAGTGCAGCATAATTAATATGTTTTTTCCTTGAAACGTCGTTATAAGGATTCAAGAAGCATGTTACAGGGCCAAGCTCAAACTGTAATCAACAGTTAAAGAACTTAGCTTAATCAAAGGGCAAATTTAATTTGCCGTCTTGCAGAAAGTGAAATAAATTTACCCAACAAGTTTGGTTTTCATATAGACCACATATCTCTCTAGTTATAGAACTGTTCGTTTGTCGAAGTATGTTGAAGTTTATTTTTGCAACTGAACACCACTCAGACTCTTCAATTTTATAAATTTCTCCTACAAATACAGAAGAATATTTAAAAAGTAAACAAAGTTTAATCAAACCAAAAACTAAGCAAACATTGTTTGAATATTGCTTGATTTACCTTTTTCTTTTCTACCGCTTACTTCTGAACCATTGTCAAACAGATCTCCGTTAAAGATGGCCAACGACTGTGGAGAAACTGAAGCATTCTTCTTCTTATCTAAATTTTACACCTTAATTATAGTCCTGCAAAACGCTTGGTTCGTTTAGCAGCAAAAACAGTTTTGAGCAAAAAATTTTATAAATACAAAATTTAAAAAAAAAATTTTTTTTTCTTTTGTTTACAGGTACGAGGCGGAAGTTCTGGGGCAGTGGTAGACGAAGATGCTGTGAGGCTACATAGCGCTGATGAAGATAATGCGTGATGTACAGGAGGGGGTGGTGGTGGAATAGCTAAAAGTGATGAAGTTGATGAAAGAATCGTCAAATCGTAGGAACAGTCCACCTGTTCACGTAGCGATGATAATCGTTCACTAAGCTAAAGAAAAGTGATTGTATATGTTAATCCTCAATAGGGTTAGGCTGCATATACAAATCTGAAATCTGTTTTAGATGGCACAGCAGCTTACTTGATCAATTTCTTGCCTTATTTGACTGAGCTGTTCGTTCTGTGGAGCGGACAACGACGGTGATGAAGCGGCAATATTTAAGCAGCGGCCAAACTGTGCGGGTATTGGCGGTAAAAATGTATTTAACCTTTTTTCGTAACAAAAATAGTTCCGTGTATCT